TAAGTAGTGACTTAAATGTGTCCACTGATTTTCATACTTTTATAAATAATGGTATGTTGTTCCAATTAGGGGAGATGAGGAGGAAAAGGCACTGCTGCCATAAGTGATTGTAGATGTTTTAGGAACATGCAGGAGGTTTTTAGATGCAGATCTTAGTGAGCGATGTGAACGATGCTCTTCAATGAGTTCTCGGATGTACGTGGGTGAATTATATAGTTTACTTTTGTAAGTGACCAGCAGTATTTTAAATATTATTCTTTGCTTTACTGGTAACCAGTGAAGTGAATGAAGAATGGGTGTGATGTGTTCATGTCGCTTAGTTCAAGTAACTAATCTTGCTGCTGCATTTTGTACTCGCTGCAGCTTGTCAATCTCTGATTCTGGCAGACCGTTCAGGAGGCTGTTGCAGTAGTCTAATCGTGATGTTACAAAGGCATGAATAAGTTTTATTGTTGTTTCTTCATCCAGGTAATTTCTAATAGAACCAATTTTAGCGGATGGCTCTGAAAGAGGACTGGCAAGTGGAAGTTACATGCGATTTCATTTGTAGGGAATTATCGGAATGTACGTCAAGGTTCCTCACTGTCTGTGATGCTGAGATGGTGCAGTTTCCTATCATCACACTTGGGATGAGTTGACTGGTATTAAACCATGATGCAAAATGTATGAATTGGGTTTTGCTTTCATTCAAGAACAAGTGATTAGAGATTGCCCAGGATTTTATGTCATTAATGCATGATATGACTTTCTGTAACACTCTACTCCTATTAAATGGCTGGCATGCATAGAGAGTACAATTGTACATCATGAGCGTATATCATACACTGCACAGCATGTAACCTAGCAATGTTAGCAATTAGTGCTGAATACATAATGAACAGAAGTGGGCCTAAAACTGACCCCTGGGGGACGCCAGAAGTTACCATGTGTGGTGTAGATGATGCGTTACACAACACAACTGACTGCGTCCTGTTACAAAGGTAAGTGGACAGCCAATTCAGAGCATTACCACCAATTCCAAAATCAGATACAAGCCTCTGTAATAAGATATTATGGTCTATGGTGTCGAATGCGGAAGAAAAATCAAATAAAAATAATAAAGCTTCTTGGCGCTTATCCTATGCTTTCATGATGCCATCCTTAACTTTCAGTAAGGCTGTTTCGGTACTGTGCTTAAAACAATATGCAGATTGAAAAACTGGAAGAAGATCATTTTCCTGGAGGTATCTTTGTAATTGAGTACTCATAATACGTTCTAAGAGCTTTGAGAGGTATGGTAAATTGGAAATAGGATGGTAATTGGTAAACATCTCTGGGTAAAGTCTGTGATGCTTGAGTACTGGAATTACAGATGCAGTTTTCAGTACTGTAGGAAATTTGCCTTGACTTAAACTAAGATTGACAATGTGTGTTAAAACTGGAAGCAGTATATCAATACATTGCTTTAGTATCGAAGTTGGCAAAGGGTCAAGTTCACAGGACTTGGTGTTCGATGATGATATTAACATACTGTACGAACTTCCTCCATGTCAACAAGTTCCCAACTTTCAAAAGACGAAATGCAGGAATTTGGAAAAGTGATTTCAAGAGGATGACATGACATACCACTATGTTGTATATTTGAGCATAGATTTGAGATCTTCTTGTTAAACGCCTCAACAAACAGATCAGCAAGCTGACCTTTGTTATCATGGGACGGCAGTGTGACTTTTTTTAAGCGCCCAGGCACTGAAAAATAAGTGTAACTAAACAAATACCATATTTAAGAGATTTAGAATATTCCGAGTGCCTGAAAAATTTAGTTATGTTTACTAATTTACAGCAGAATTTGCATTAACCACATTCAGATATATAACATTTTTTAAAGGATTATATGATCTGCCAATTTAAACATGGCCATTCATTAGTAATGTTTAGACAGAGCGCGCTTACTGTTCCTCTTCGTTTTTAAAAGAATAGAATGTATTTTCAAATTATCTTGTTAAAGCAGAATCTGTAACTCAATTCAAACCCGTTCTTGCAGAGCAAATACAAATCATACTTGTTTGTATTTAACAATCATCTGACCCGACCATGCACATTTTAGGGATGGGCGTATAAGTTATATTGCTTTCGTCTCTACAACCAAGTAAGTAGGAAAACAAGATATTAAAAGTACTGTCAATTACACTTAAAAAAGTAGACTCGTAAATACAATTAAAGAATAGCTAACTCAAGATTAAACATGACATATTGTACCTTTGCATTCTGCGTACGATGAACTATATTGACCATTGTCACATGTAATTGTTGATTCTCCTACCAACGTGTAACCAACATCACATGTGAATATGATGGATCCTCCATGATTGAAGCTTCCAGTGTACTGACCATTGGCTATACTAATTGACGCCTTACAGTTAGCTGAAAGAAAATAAGTTTTACAAGCTAAACATTCAACACCTTTAGCATCCATATTATAAACGACAGCAAATTAAAAGAATCTTTAATAGACAAAACAATAACCCTATTTACTTACCGTAGCATACTGGAAATTGATCCTGGTACTGTCCATCTAGGCACATAGTACTTGTGACACCAACTAACGTGTATCCGTCTCTACATGTAAATGTTGTTTTACCTCCATGAGACAGATCTGAATTTACCTCACCATTAAGAATTAATGGAGGTCGATCACAGTTAGCTGTAGGTCAAACAGATTATTTTTTTATGATGACAATGTTTTAAACACTAAGGCTAATCAATGTGTTTTCTCAGCAATATTTTTGTCTTACCTTACTCGCGCGAATAGGCGCCCTGTTTGAATATTAAGCACCCAGCTCGTATAAGCACCCCTCAACGTGAAAATTTCCTTAAGCGCTCCGTTTAGATAAGCGCTCCATTTGGATAAGTGCCCCCTTCTAATTTGAATAAGCGCCCTCCCCCCTCATTTTCCAACAATTTGCACCTTTAACACATTCTCATATGAGTTTTCAAGAAAACCTGCAATGATCATGCCATCTTGCTAATCTCAATCGGCCAATGGACAACAAGCTAACCACCACCACTAATTTTATCTGCTATTCTGCTGTTATGTAAGTACTCACAACATTCTTGTCACGATGAGCCATGCTCTCTGGACGGTTATATTTTCCACCGTAATACTTCGTAATTTGCGGTTTCCTGATGTCCTTATATAATAATTTTTCACTCAAAATGTACTACCTTTTGAATTTAATAAGTTCTCATAAGAATCCCTCGATTTTCATTCAGATATATAACATTTTTTAAAGGATTATATGATCTGCCAATTTAAACATGGTCATTCATTAGAAATGTTTAGACAGAGCGCGCTTACTGTTCCTCTTCATTTTTAAAAGAATAGAATGCATTTCCAAATTATCTTGTTAAAGTAGAATCTGTAACTCAATTCAAATCTGTTTTTGCAGAGCAAATATAAATCACACTTGTTTGTATTAAACAATCGTCTGACCTGACCATGCACATTTTAGGGATGGGCGTATAAGTTATATTGCTTTTGTCTCTACAACCAAGTAAGTAGGAATACGAGATATTGAAAGTACTGTCAATTACACTTAAAAAAGTAGACTCATAAATACAATTAAAGAATAGCTAACATTCAAAATGTTTTGGGCACCAATGTCAACGTCAACGGTCTACACGCTTTCGAAATTACTTCTTTTTGAGGTATTTGTTTGTCTCAAAGTTTTGATCTAGTTTAATAAGCATACCTAGACCGAAAGGTAATCAATCGATGTTGGTTTATCAATCTATACCTGACTTTAGTAGTCAATTGTATACGTCAATTGTCTAGGCCGATTGGTGCAAGTTTCAAGCGGATTGTTTGAGATGCTCTCAGCCATCGGTAGCTGTCAGCTACACAACGATCTTTCCGTATATTAAATCAGTGTTGCGGCCTGTAAAACAGAATAATCGTTGCATAGCAACGCCAAGTCAAGTCTTTTGTTAATACATTGATTGGATACGACCCAATAAAGAAACACAATGACAACAGGAAAAGGTAGCGTTTGGTTTATACTGTCATTCATTGTGATCCTCAACAAAGGAATGGATACACTTAGGTACAATGACGAGCTGCCCCAATATGAGAAAACAAATCGTTCGAGATTATATATTGTGGACGTCTCTGGCATCTCCAGCATTGTAACAGCGACGACATCTAAACTGTTTTTATCATCTATGCATAAGTTGAATGTCGGGAATGGTTAATGGTTAATGGTTATTAATTTATAGAGCGCAAAATACAAAAAGTCTCTAAGCGCTATCAGGCAAGTGTAAAGATGGAACGGAAACCAAAACCACAAAATAAAAAGAAGTGAAATTTGAATACCATGCCAGCACCCAAACCGAAGTATGGGGAAGATGTGTATAAGAGACAGAACGTGTATCCGTCTCTACATGTAAATGTTGTTTTACCTCCATGAGACAGATCTGAAGTTACGTCACCATTAAGGATCAATAGAGGTCGCTCACAGTTAGCTGGTGGTCAAATATATTTTTTTACAATGACAATGTATTACAAACTTAGGCAATATATATGTTTTCTCAGCAATAATTTTGTCTTATGTTTTTTCCTCAAGTACAATGAAATTGCTATAGTGATATTGAGAAAGATAAAATTTTGATTCTCAAGAAAAGCAATTGAAATTATCAAAAATATCAGGGAATGTCCAAAGAAGGATAACTCTAATACAAAATTTAAGAGATTTAGAATACCTGAGTCATTGAAAATAATAAAGTTTTGTTCATTAATATACAGGAGGATCTGTGCCGACCTAATTCTGATATATAAAATGTTTGAAAGGATTATAAGATTTGCCGATCAAATTTTTTTTGCAACACGATACTGTTTCAAGAAGCATGGTCATTCGTTCAAAATACTTAAGCAGTGTTTTAATATTAATAATATGATGTAGGTGTCTCCCACGCGGATGTTTTCAATGATGGGTACATTTAGACGGCGTTTAGGCATTTTGGAATGCCAAATACAGGAGAAGAAATGCTAAGTTTTGTTCTTCGTTGAAATGTAATAACAATGGATATTGCTTGTATTAATGCTCAAATGTAGAGATGTATCCCCAAACCCAGGCCCCCGATATAACAAAGGAGACTCAGACCTTTCTATGTTTAATAAAAGGGGCCTGCATTTCATACATCTAAATGCAAGATCAATTCTTCCGAAGCTTTCTGAATTAAAATTGCTTGTTCTGAAGACGAGAGCCGCCATAGTCTGTATAACTGAAACATGGCTAGATGAAACTGTGAGTAATAACGAAATAGCAATTGAAGGATTCACTGTTATACGCAACGACAAGAACAGAAACGGTGGGGTGTCTGTACCTTCATACAGGGAGACATTGCTTTCAAAGAGACAACTTAAACTGTGATGCCTTTGAAGGAATTTGGTGTGATTTATTACTTCCCAAAAAAAAACCAATCCTTGTGGGAACAATCTACTGCCCACAGAGTCATGCTGAATTTGTTCGCCCCCTAGAGGATACCCTTATGAAAATTCGCAATAGCACGGAGTTGGTCATCCTTGGTGATTTCAACATTGACATCAAAAACACCACCTCGAGTATCTACAAGCATTCTTTTGACATGTTGAAGCAATTTAGTCTTAAACAACTTATCAAAGATTTTACAAGAGAAACCAATACTACTTTTTCTACAATTGATCATATTCTGTGCAACAATCCAGATAAAATATGCCAGTCTGAAGTTATACAAATTGGCATTATAGCGACCATTTTGCTATTTTTTGCACTCGAAAGATCACAAAGAGTTCAGTATCAGAACCAAAGGTGATTAAAATAAGAAGCCTAAAATATTATGACGTAGACGCATTTGTGGACGCGCTATTCAATGTTGACTGGTCAATAAACCAGACAGATGTGAATGTTCCATGGAACAACTTTAAAACAACTTTTTTTATCAGTTCTGGACAAAGGTGCACCGATTAAATAGGTTCGTGTGAAACAGTGCACAGAGAAATGGATGACACCGGAGATATTGAGTAAAATTCACGAAAAGGATCAGGTACTATGCAAGTTTAATAAAGACCGTCAAAATGAAGATCTCTATAAACGATACTGTAAATTAAGAAATGAAATTCAAGAAGACATTAAGAAGGCCAAAACGCAATTTATTATGAACAAACTTGAAGAAAACAAATCAAATCCGAGAGTGTTGTGGCAACAACTCAAAGGTCTAGGCTATAGTAAGAAACCTAATGGAAAATCAAATGTATCTTTAGACATAGATGGCCAGGTTTCTTCCGATCCTTCTAAGATTGCAAATCACTTCAACAAATTCTTTTCCAATATTGCATCCTTTCTAGTCAACAAACTTCCAAATCCTTGTAAGATTTATACACCAGAATCTGAAAAATTTTATGAATTTTACCGTCATAAAGTAACTGAAGCTGGTTGTTTTAATCTGGAAGTTATTGATGAAGAATTTGTTGAATCGCAACTTAAAAGTCTAAATATTTCAAAAGCTACCGGACTTGATAATATTCCAGCTAGATTTTTAAGAGATGCTGCTACAGTTTTGAAAGTGCCAATTACTAAAATCATAAACATTTCAATTACTAGCAATACGGTACCAGATGATTTTAAGCTGGCTAAAGTTAGACCGTTATATAAGAAAAGTAAACGTACAGATGTTAATAATTATAGACCTGTAAGCATTTTATCTGTTGTATCTAAAATCCTAGAAAGAGCCGTACATCAACAACTGACGGAGTACCTTAGACAAAACCACAACTTTTTATACGAGTTACAGTCTGGCTTTAGAGAATCTCATTCCACAGACACGTGCCTTATTCAAATGTCGCAAGGCTTATATTCCGGTATGGTACTACTAGATCTCGAAAAAGCGTTCGATACTGTAAATCATGACATTCTGTTAAATAAGCCAAAATGCATTGGTGTTGATTCCGCTGATTGGTTTAAACAGGCAGAAGTGCTGAATCAAAAATCACGTAAAATCTTAGCATCTGCACTTATTCAATGTTTATTTGATTACTCTGCATCCTCTTGGTATGCAGGCCTAACAAAGAATTTAAAACATAGACTTCAAACTTCACAAAACAAGATGATAAGGTTTATAACGAATAAGGGCCCTCGTAGTCATGTTTGTCAATTTGAACTATCAGAACTCGGATTTTTAAAAGTAGATGATTGTGTTAAATTTCTCCGTCTTTGTCACGTTTTAAAAATATTTAATGATATTAGTCCTGTGTATACGAGTGAAAATTTTTCTAGAATATCGATGAGTCATAATCAAAATACCCGAGGTAGTTCCTTAAATTTCCGAATTCCAATTATAAAAGGTGTTGCTTCTTCTACGTTTTATTACAATTCTATTAAAGATTGGAATTCCCTGCCAAAGGAAATAAAGTATTAACAAGCATGTCAACTTTCAAGATCAAAACTAAATGTTATCTCGCAAACCAAACTGAAATGTTGTAATACATTTAGGCCTGTTTTTAATGCAAAATGTAAATACTAATATAGTTTTAATAAAGCTTTTCTGCTTTTTAAAATAACCTATTACATTTTCACTTTTTTTTTATTATGTTTTACAGGTATTTTGATTCTTAAGATTTTTTACTTTTTTACATTGTTTTAAATTTTTTAATTTTTGCCTTGAAATTTTATACTTTTATTACTTGTATACCTTTGCATTCTGCGTAAGATGTGTATAAGAGACAGATATAGTGTACCTTTGCATTCTGCATATGATGAACTATATTGACCATTGTCACATGTAATTGTTGATTCTCCTACCAACGTGTAACCAACATCACATGTGAATATGATTGATCCTCCATGATTGAAGCTTCCAGTGTACTGACCATTGGCTATACTAATTGACGCCTTACAGTTAGCTGAAAGAAAATAAGTTTTACAAGCTAAACATTCAACACCTTTAGCATCCATATTATAAACGACAGCAAATTAAAAGAATCTTTAATAGACAATTGACAAAACAATAACACTATTTACTTACCGTAGCATACTGGAAATTGATCCTGGTACTGTCCATCTAGGCACAAAGTACTTGTTACACCAACTAACGTGTATCCGTCTCTACATGTAAATGTTGTTTTACCTCCATGAGACAGATCTGAATTTACCTCACCATTAAGAATTAATGGAGGTCGATCACAGTTAGCTGTAGGTCAAACAGATTATTTTTTTTATGATGACAATGTTTTAAACACTAAGGCTAATCAATGTGTTTTCTCAGCAATATTTTTGTCTTACCTTACTCGCGCAAATAGGCGCCCTGTTTGAATATTAAGCACCCAGCTCATATAAGCACCCCTCAACGTGAAAATTTCCTTAAGCGCTCCGTTTAGATAAGCGCTCCATTTGGATAAGTGCCCCCTTCTAATTTGAATAAGCGCCCTCCCCCCTCATTTTCCAACAATTTGCACCTTTAACACATTCTCATATGAGTTTTCAAGAAAACCTGCAATGATCATGCCATCTTGCTAATCTCAATTGGCCAATGGACAACAAGCTAACCACCACCACTAATTTTATCTGCTATTCTGCTGTTATGTAAGTACTCACAACATTCTTGTCACGATGAGCCATGCTCTCTGGACGGTTATATTTTCCACCGCACCACTTCGTAATTTGCGGTTTCCTGATGTCCTTATATAATAATTTTTCACTCAAAATGTACTACCTTTTGAATTTAATAAGTTCTCATAAGAATCCCTCGATTTTCATTCAGATATATAACATTTTTTAAAGGATTATATGATCTGCCAATTTAAACATGGTCATTCATTAGAAATGTTTAGACAGAGCGCGCCTACTGTTCCTCTTCATTTTTAAAAGAATAGAATGCATTTCCAAATTATCTTGTTAAAGTAGAATCTGTAACTCAATTCAAATCTGTTTTTGCAGAGCAAATATAAATCACACTTGTTTGTATTAAACAATCGTCTGACCTGACCATGCACATTTTGGGGATGGGCGTATAAGTTATATTGCTTTTGTCTCTACAACCAAGTAAGTAGGAATACGAGATATTGAAAGTACTGTCAATTACACTTAAAAAAGTAGACTCATAAATACAATAAAGAATAGCTAACATTCAAAATGTTTTGGGCACCAATGTCAACGTCAACGGTCTACACGCTTTCGAAATTACTTCTTTTTGAGGTATTTGTTTGTCTCAAAGTTTTGATCTAGTTTAATAAGCATACCTAGACCGAAAGGTAATCAATCGATGTTGGTTTATCAATCTATACCTGACTTTAGTAGTCAATTGTATACGTCAATTGTCTAGGCCGATTGGTGCAAGTTTCAAGCGGATTGTTTGAGATGCTCTCAGCCATCGGTAGCTGTCAGCTACACAACGATCTTTCAGTATATTAAATCAGTGTTGCGGCCTGTAAAACAGAACAATCGTTGGATAGCAACGCCAAGTCAAGTCAAGTCTTTTGTTAATACATTGATTGGATACGACCCAATAAAGAAACAAAATTACAACAGGAAAAGGTAGCGTTTGGTTTATACTGTCATTCATTGTGATCCTCAACAAAGGAATGGATACACTTAGGTACAATGACGAGCTGCCCCAATATGAGAAAACAAATCGTTCGAGATTATATATTGTGGACGTCTCTGGCATCTCCAGCATTGTAACAGCGACGACATCTAAACTGTTTTTATCATCTATGCATAAGTTCAATGTCGGGAATGGTTAATGGTTAATGGTTAATGGTTATTCATTTATAGAGCGCAAAATACAAAAAGTCTCTAAGCGCTATCAGGCAAGTGTAAAGATGGAACGGAAACCAAAACCACAAAATAAAAAGAAGTGAAATTTGAATACCATGCCAGCACCCAAACCGAAGTATGGGGA